AATGGAGATGTATTGTAAGGTTCTTATATTATGTATGAAGTGGTATAACACTTTTTGAGGGAAGAATGTGATAAGTCAAAGATGCATATTTTAAACCCTAGAACAATCACTAAAAAAATAATAGTGGTGGCATAGTTAAAAAGCTAACAGTGGAGTACTAAAAGTTATTCAGTTAATTAAAGGAAGACAGGAGCAGAGGGAAGGGGGAACAAAGAACATATGGGATAAATAGAAAAAAAATTTGCAGGATAATATTATAGTTTTAAATTCAATCATGTCTGCTGATAATTACATTAGGTGTAAATGGTTTAAACAGTCCTATTAAATTTGGAGATTGTCAGACAGAATTAAAAAAAAATCAGGATTCAACTAGACGCTTTATACAAGAAATCCATTTAAAATATAAAGACAAATAGGTTAAAAGAAAAATAATCAAAAAATTTATACCTGCAAATACTAACCACAATAAAACTGGAGTGGACATATTAATATCAGATAAAATAGATTTCAGGAAAAGGCATATTGCCAGAAATAAAGAAGGACACTTCGTGATGATAAAGCAGTCTACTCTTCAAGAAGACATAACAATCTTGAATGCGTATGGACTAATAAAATAGCTCCAAAATACATGAAGAAAATGGACAATACTGAAAGGAGAAATTAACAGATCCAAAAGGATAGGGGCAGGTGTCAGTTTTTTTGTTTGACTAATTGATAATAACCAGGAAATCAGTAATGACATAAAAGATATGAACAACACTACTAATGAACTTGACTTAAATGACATTTATAGAACACCCTACCCAACAACAGCAGATTACACGTTCTTTTCAAGTGCAAAGAGGATATTTATCAAGACAGACTATGTATTAATAAATTTAAAAGGATTTAAATCATACAAAGTATATTTTCTGATTAGAATGGAATTAAATTTAAAAATTAATAACAAAACAACATCTGGAGTAATCCCCCAATATTAGGAAACTAAACAACACACATAATTCATAGATTCAAAAAGAAATCACAAGAGAAATTAGAAAATATTTTTGACTAAATTAAAATGAAACACAACATATCAAAGTTTGCTAAAACAGTGCTCAGAGGAAAATGTATACCTTTAAATGCTTACATTAGAAAAGAAGAAAGGCCGAAAGCCCATAGTATGAATTTCTATTTTAAGAAGCTAGAAAAAAGGCCAGGTGCGGTGGCTCACGCCTGTAATCCTAGTACTCTGGGAGGCTGAGGTGGGCAGATCATTTGAGCTCAGGAGTTGGAGATCAGCCTAAGTAAGAGTGATACCCCATCTCTACTAAAAATAGAAAAAAATTAGCTGGGCATGGTGGTACATGCCTGTAGTCTCAGCTACTCAGGAGGCTGAGGCTGGAGGATCGCTTGAGC